GATCCCTCCACTGGCTTGCCGGTACTTCTCCCTTACCTCACACAGTCGATCCTTTAATAAGTAACATTCTTTGGATTATCAGCAGACAGCGCATTGCCAAAATTGATAAATTGGTCCTCTTGTATAAGGTGTGCACTATGTATGGCTTGTTGTGTCTGCATAATTCAGGAATAGTATGTAGGATATACGCGGACCTACTCTCTAGTGAACAAAATCAGTATCCTCATACTGGTGACGTTACTCAACTGAGGAGGAACCAATGAGCTACGAAGTGGCGGTGTGAGCAGGACTCAGTCAAAATTGTGCCAAAGCTAAAAAGCGCGCATTGTAGACAATATACTTCGTGTCATTACATATATGCGGTTAAAGTAAAGAGTAGGATATTATGAAGGTTTCGAGCGTATTTGAAATTTATAAGTAAATCAGCATATTAAAATTTCGAGAGCTAATACAGGAATGGCGACTTTCAAGAAATGAGTTATAGCCAGATGCTGAAATAAATTGGTCATCAGTCCATAATTCTGTTGCAGTTCAAAATATTTACCCGAGTGTTGACTAGCAGTGATGTCAACTGATTACGGGGTCGATCCCACCCACTTTCATTGAACCTTTCTGACGATGCTTGAGCACTCGCCTGGGAGCTGCACGACGGCGAAAATATTACTAAGTTAACCCACTGGAGCCTACTTCACTGGGTCTGCGCTTAAACTAACCATGTTCTCTCAGGCCGCCCAGTTTATTGCCTATTATCAAGTAACCCAGTAAGATCAGTTTAAAAGAGGAATTATGACGGTCCATCAGGCCAGTAGGCGCAATATGTATCGAAGCTTATGTAAGGTTTGTGAAGCATTTAAATGTATTTTCAAGTGAAAAATATCTGAGTAGGATTAAGTGAATGAGGGAGTGCAAGGTAATGCGAAATTATGTATAGCCCCTGACCGCAGTTTCAAGTGGTCCCGGTTGAGGTGTGATGGACTCATGACAAAAACTAAGTCGAGAGTACCCATCTTACACTATACGATACCTTCAAAACGATCGATTGCCACACAACAAGGCCAGACATAAATCTAATGAAACAGAGAAAGGCATTTAGTAGGACAAAGGAACAGGAACTCCCAACTCTTCCAGAGGGTTCACGACCTGAAGTAACTTAAAGTTCAGGTTAAGAGTTGGATTATGACATGCGAGTATTTAACCTTCCTGAAATGAAGCCCAATGACATTTTTTATTACCGAGGGATTCCTATTCCCCTATGTAACGTAACATTTACTCGGAAATGACGCTGGTGTAGATCAGGGTGGGCACGTCTTTGATGAATGCGCTTGATGTCGACAAGTATTTTTTGTAAGCAATCCTTCGTCTTATTTTCGAAGTCGATGTAAAACCTAATCTACTACTTTAACATTAGCAGGTATAGTAGTTGCTACATTCAAGAAAGTTGGAGTGAAAATTGAAAAAAACAATCTTCTCTAAAACAAACGGCTACCGGTCTCCAGATGACCCATTCCATATTGGTTAGGTTGGTTAGCATGAGTAAGAGTATTTCAAATTATAAACTTCTTGAACAGAATTAAACGGCCACGGATCCAGCTGGTCGGGCCTTCTCCCAATCGTATGTGACTATTTAAGTTACATACAATTAACTCTAGCGGAATAAGCACGTAGTCTGTACACTTTCGAGGGGGCAGTCAGTAGTGTTTAACATGCATCGAAATAACTAGACAGGAGATTTTAAGATTACATATTTTATGCATTGCTCTAACACTTGGCTTACCTGTTAACATAAGGGGAATTAGAGCAGGTACACTACCGCTTCCACCTATCAGGATTATTTACCAATATACAGTAATAACAGTTTAACCATCGATTTCGATTATATTCACTATATGCTCCAAACAGGTTGATACAGGAACGGTGACTTGCGCGTATTTAGGTTTAAGTGAATGTAGACGTGCGCAGAATCTACCGCACTGTCAACCTTCACCAACTTGAAGCCAGTGTCATGACAGAGTTAAGAAGACCGAGAGAGATAACTCGTAAGACCGTTTTCTCCAACGTAGGTCACAACATTACACGTAATTTAGTTTTAAGTGATAGTAGACGTTGCGCCGGACCTACCGCACTCTCTTACCTCTCCCATACGGGCGTACCATCGTAGCCTGAGCCTCCCTTCCACATACTCTATTGTACACTACCTGGTCACAGCCTACACTCGACCAGGATTTTAAAGTAATAGGAAGATATGGACAACACTTCATACCCCCAGCTCTTAAAGTCTGGGCCCCATGTCACACTACCATCATACACTATGTGGTCGCAGCCTATCCTTTGCCAGGATTTTAAAACAGCAACAG